TATTATTATTTTTTGTTTCAACTTGTGAATAATAATTTGTATAATGCTCGGGAATGTAATTTCTGTGGTTAATGCTGTAGTGTGAACCAGTGATGGGCAAAATTGTATTTACTAAGTATTAAATACTAAGTACAAAAGTATTTAGGTATTTTGTGTTGTTGTAAATACCAAAGTACTATTTACTTAGGTATTTAGGAGCTGCTAAATACCCAAGTACTATTTACTTAGGTATTTAGGCGCTGCTAAATACCCAAGTAAACAATACTTAGGTATTTAGGAGCTGGTAAATACCCATGTAAAAAATATTTAGGTATTTAGGAGCTATTAGATATTAAAGTAAGAAATACTTGAGTATTTAGGAGCTGCTATATGCCAAAGTACAAAAGACGAAAGTATTTAGTAGACGCTAAATACTCTGTACCAAAGTCCTCATGTACCTTGGGGATGCAAAATACTTTCACTAAAGTACCAAGGTACTTAGACCCATAGACTAAATACCTCGGTACTTTACTTTACTTTCAAACTAAATACTGTATAATTTAGGAGAACTCTAGAGAATTAACACCTCACCTTACACTCACCTCAACTTACTTTACCACAACTCACTTCACCTCTCCTCAAATCAACTCACCACATACAAACTCACCGCACGTTCTACTGCTACACCAAAATCCACCAAATCTTTACTCACCATAGTTGAACTCATCACACCCGTTCTCACCACACCTCACCTAAACTCACCACACCTCAATTTGAGAAATGTTTCGGGATTTGAGAGATTCTTCAGACTAAATCAGGATTTTCAAGACTATTTCGGGGTTTTCGGGACTATTTTGGGATTTTCGAAGCTATTTCGTAATTCTTTAGGGATTTAGGGTTTGAGATTTTCGGGATTCTCGGAACTAATATCGGGTTTTTCGAGACGACTTTCACAATATTTAGGGATTTTTGGAACTAGTTTCGGGATTTTTGGGACTTTCTGGATTCTCGGAATTAATAGCGGGATTTTCGCGAGAATTTTGAGATTCTCGGGCATTTTGGGACTCCTGGACAATTTCTGGACTAATTTCAAGTTTTTAGGACTTTCGGAACTGTTTCGGGATTTTTGGGCTTTCGGGATTCTCGGAACTAATATCGGGATTTTTGGGACTTTCGGCAGTATTTTGCAATTCTCGGGAGTAATTTCGAAATTTTTGGGACTCCGGGACTATTCTTCGATTTTTGGGACTTATATCGGCCTTTGGGCACGGTGGGCAGGAAGCGAAGATAGGTTGCATAAAAATGTCGACAAAATCTGAAAGCAGGGTTGTATTTGTTGATATCTTAAGGTTAAGAATCCGCTTAAATTGAAATCCTAGCTGCTCCTGTTTTAAAGATATCCACATTTTATATACTTCTGATAGGATATATTTGGAAGGCGTACTTCTCGATAATTAGAGCATATTTATACGAAAAGAAATCTCATACAAATCTGTTCCCCTTTTCTAACTCACAAAAGGGATCAAATCAATGTGAAACATTTTAATTTTTTCCTACCGAAAGAATAATTGATCGAGATTTATTGGGCGCTACCGGTATACAACTTAGATAAAACACCACAATTACCTTTTTCTGTAGCGTGAACTTTCTCATTACAAACACTTTCAATATCGCAATATATGTATGTATGTATACAATATTGTATGCTATATAATACGGTAGTAATTTTTTATTAAAGGTTTGTTGCTATAAGCAAGTAGCGCAGGCAAGTCGCACTGCGCTTGTGCAAGAAATAAAAATGCTCTAACTTAGGCCAACGGTACTCCGCATAATAAGTAAATAAATTCAAAGCTTGTATGGGGACTATTTCCAGATTTTTGGGGCTTATTTCGGATTTACGGGGTTTTCGGGATTCTTGAGAATAATTTCGGGACTGTTGGGACCTTCAGGGCTATTTAGGGTTTTTTGGGACTAATTTCGGATTTTTGGGACTCTCGGGACTAGTTCGGGATTATCTGGAGTAATTTAGGTATTTTTGGGACTTTCGGCACTATTTCCAGATTTTTGGGAATAATTTAGGATTTTTGGAACTTTCGGGTCTTTTTCGGAATTTTTGGGACTAATTTAGGAACTTTGGGACTTACGGAACTATTTCAGGATGTTTGGTATTTTCGGGACTATTTCGTAATTCGCTGAACTGATTTTGCTATTTTGGGACTAATTTCGGGACTTTTGGAGCTTTAGGGAGTATATCGATTTTTTTGGGACTTTTGGAATTTTGAGACTTTCGGGACCATTTCGGGGGTTTCAGGAGTATTACGGGATTTTTGGGATAATTTCGAATTGTTGGGGCTATTCCGCCATTTTTGGGAATAATTTAGGAATTTTGGACTTATTTCGGATTTTTGGAACTTTCGGGACTGTTTCGGGATTCTTTAGGGAGTAATTTAGGTATTTTTGGGACTTTCGAGCTATTTCCAGATTTTTTGGACTTATTTTAGATTTTTAGAACTTTCGGGTCTTTTTTGGGACTTTCGGGAGTATTTCGGAATTTTTGCGGCTTTCGAAACTATTTCGCGCTTATAATGACGAATTTCAGGACTTTCGGGACTATTTTGAGTCTCGGAACTAATTTTGGGAATTTCGGGGTTCTTGGGACTAGTTTCGGAATTTTTGAGACTACCTCAGAGTTTTTGGGTCTATTTTTAGTGTTTTGGGACATTTGAGGCCGTTTGGGGATTTTTGGGACTAATTTCGGATTTTTGGGACTTTCGGGACTATTTTTTGATTTTTGAGACTTTCGGGGCCATTTGGGACTAATTTAGGAACTTTAAGACTTTCGAAACTATTTCATAAAGTCCCAAAATTCCCGAAACTAGCCCCAGGGATCCCGGAAGTCCCAAAAGCTCCAAAGTAGTTTTGAAAATATCTAAATCCAGGCAGTCCCAAAAATCCGAAATTATTCCCAAAAACTCTAAAATAATCCCGAAAGTCCCGAAATCAGTTCCGAGAATCCCGAAATAGTCCCAAAAGTTCCAAAAAGTCCAAAATTCCCAAAAGTCCGGAAATTACTCCCGAAAATCCCGAAATAGACCCGAAAGTTTCAAAAATCCAAAATAAGTCCCAAAAATCTTGAAATAGTCTCGAAAGTCCCAAAAATACCTAAATTACTCCCGATAATCCCGAAATAGTCCCAAGAGTCCCAAAATCCCTAAATAGCCTTGAAAGTCCCAACAGTCCCGAAATTAGTTCCAAGAATACCGCAATAGTTCCGACAGTTACAAAAATCCGAAATAAGTCCCAAAAATCCCTAAATAGTTCTCAAAGTCCCAAAATTCCAAAAATGGAGAAATAGTCCCGAAGGTCCCAAAGATCCGAAATTAGTTCAAAAACCCGAAATACTCCTGAAAACCTCGAAATGGTCCCGAAAGTCTAAAAAATCCAAAAGAAATCCCAAAAAAATCGATATACTCCCGAAAGCCCCAAAAGTCCCAAAATTAGTCCCAAAAATCCCGAAATCATTTCCGAGAATTACGAAATAGTCGCAAAAATCCTGAAATAGTCCCGAAAGTCTCAAAGTGCCTAAATTAGTCCCAAAAATCTCGAAATGGTCCCGCAAGTTACAAATATCCAAAAATGGTTCTGAAAGTCCCAAAAATCCCGAAAAACTCCCTAAAATCTGAAATTATTCCCAAAATTCTGGAATGAGTTCCGAAAGTGCCAAAAATCCCGAAATTACTCTCGAAAGTAAATTCATTTTACTTGAATATTTAGTCATCTCCAAATACTAAGTATTTGTGTATTTAGTACCCAAAGTGGTACTTTAAGTACAAAAGTATTTAGGTGTGCCCATCACTGGTGTGAACTATATATAAGAAATTAGCAAATTAAAAGTTCATGTTAAACACCGCACAGTGTAGATATTGACAAAATTTTATATCTCGAAAACAAAAACATCTAGCGAAATAGATTTAACAGCATTTTAAAGCCTTTGAGATAGAAAATCGAGGAAAAATTATTTCGTTGGATAAAAAAAAGTTGCCTTCACCTTTCAAATCACCATCAAATTAGGGGGTTCTCATTTGATTTCATTTTTTTACCTGAAAACAGTATGAGGTAAACTTTTTAAAAAGTTTTAAACAGATATTTTTGGTGTTCTTGCATCAACGAATTTCACAGACTAATAGTGTTTTTAAGCTAATTTTTATTACATAACAAAGACTCAAGAGTGTTACATATATGTTTCAGCTCGTACAGACACCCCTTTATAGAGGTCGAAACTTTTTATTATACATATCCTCACTTTTAGTATCCTCCAAAGTTTGGTTCCCCTAAATTTCCTCTTTTGCTTTCGCGTTTAATGAGTTAATACTAACTTATAAAAATTTGCTTGCCGAACACAGCTTCATCTATTTGGAAAAATAATCACATAATTGGATATAATCAAATGATTAAAAACAATCAATTAATTAAAACTAATCAAATAATACAAAAAAAATGGCAATTAGTCATTATTATTTTTGATAATTACAATTAATAATTAATTATAATGGCTGGGTTATATAAGAAAATTAAAATAATTATTAAAATTAAATTAAAAATGCGAAAAAATAATGATTACTAATCGTAATGAAAATTTAACAGCTCTGTTTCAAAGTATCAAGGAACTTCAATTGCTTTATATGTTAAGAGTACTTTGAAATACTGATTACTCATTTTAATCATAATGTTGATTAATCATAAAGCAAATTACTCAAACATTTTTGTAGCTGAACTTTTGAGTAATTTCCAATTAATCGAATGATTGAGTTATTTACGTTATGATTAATTAAAATATTGAATAATCAATTAATCGCACAGCCCTAGTCCATACGTAATTAAAAAGTTAAAATGAAATCAAGTGTTTAACGGTGCAAACGGGAAGTAAGGTGCAAACGGCTGATTTTTAAAAACCATTTTCATTTTTACCTTAATGTCAATGCATTTTTTAACACAAATGTATATATATCCCTCTTACTTAGGTATCATAACAATAAAATGGTGAACTATGACTCACAAGAAGGATTTTCTGTTATATCTACTACTGTAGCTGATACTACTGTGGACGATGATCTACACATTTTCTCTGAAAAATATTTCATTGGCATAGGAAAGAAATTTAACAGTGATTTGCAAATGGAAAGTAAAGCCAACGGCCATTATACGGAAAAGCCACTGCGATTTGCATTGAAACCACAGCAATCACCTTATTTAGTATCTCCAACGTCTAGTATTTTGACATTAGAAGTAGTGCATTTTCATCATGCAGGCAACTATACTTGTGCCCCTTCGAATGCGAAATCAGTCAGTATTACTGTACATGTCTTGCGAGGTAAGTAAGATCGAAATTATAAAAGACAAACTTTGTCGGCAAATTATTTATCTGATAATCTACTTGCCCCTCTATATGCCGCTGTGGGAGATTTGATAGATCTAGTAAGATATTGGGCCGTATGAATAAAAACTAAATAATTGCTTTTTGTTAAAATTTCAGACGTTTTACTCGATTTATTCAAATAAATTTAAATAAAAAGTCTGATAATATAACGATGAGTTCATGATCAATTTGAATTTTATGTTGTTATTGTTGTTTGTACTAGGCTATAATGATCAAATAGGCTCATGTGCAAGAAAATACTTTCTTCACTTTGCTGCCCGACGTTTCGCCAACCTCCTTGGCATCTTCTGGGGCGTTTTCTTTATTAAATATCGACAAGAAACAAATATAAGGAGGTTATTATTATAATATAATTTGTTGATATGTACACGAAACAATTGTACACACAAAAACAAGGAACAAATTTTGTATTTAATCAGGGACAATTAGCAATTTTAACCTCATACCGGACTTTAAACACTTTTGTGAAAACATTGAAAAACTTACATTTGAAAAATAAACTACTAAACTACACTTAACATTTAAACTTTAAAACTTTTAAGCAGCGTTCATACCATCACCCTGCGGTACATTTGTCTTTTCTTGCACATGAGCCTATTTGATCATTATAGCCTAGTACAACCAACAATAACAACATAAAAAGTCTGATATTTTGAGAAAAAGCAATGGCTTGGATTTTATTCATACGGCCCATTATTATACCCGAGCGCACTTGTGCACAAGGGTATTATAACTTTGTTCACATAACGGTTGTTTGTAACAGGAAAAACGAATCGAGGTAGATATAGACAAATGTATACATGAATGATCTGAATGAAGAGAGAAATCGTTTAAGCGGTGACTGTCTGTCCGTCCGAACGTCCGTCCGTCTGTCCGTCTGTGCACACGGTAACTCGAGTAAAAATTGAGATATCTTAACGAACCTTGGTACGTGTACTTCTCTTGGACGCAGGACCGATAGTATTGAAAATAGGCAAAATCGGACAATAACCACGCCTACCTCCCATATAACGGTAATTTTCAGAAATACGAAAACTGGGACATTTTTGTAACTACTGAAAATTATTCACTCATAACTGATATTTTAGACGAAAAATAAGAATATTATATCTTGGTAACCGCTGCACCAATTTCTTCTAAACTTGGCACAATTGTTGGCCTTGGTACAACATACCAAATGGCCGAAAATTTTTAAAATCGGAAAATAACCACGTCCACATCCCATAAAACGGTAATTTAGAGAAATACGAAATCTTCGATAAATCAGTAAATACTAAAGCTAATTTGTTCAAAATTGATGATTGCAACGATTCTTTACCTTTATGATAAAACTTTGGAAAATGGGCGTAGCACCGCCCACTTATGATCACAAATATGTATCTCGGTAACCGTTCTACCAATTTGTACTAAACTCGGTATTGTTATTGTGCTTGCTACATAAAAGCAAAACGTTGAAGATTATTGAAATCGGACTAAAATTGAGGCCCCTTCATATCACCACATTTCCCCATCAGACTTCTTCAGCGGGATTCGAACCGACGACCCCAGCTGACTCAGCCAGTTGCCTACGCACTGCGTTAAGTTCGCCTTATAAACTGAACCCTGAAATAGCTATCACTTCTACCATTTATAAATTATTGTTAATTTCTGCACAATAGTTTTCATTAAAAAACAAATGTGTTCCCTTGTCGGGAAATATTTTTTCATATGAATATATATATATTGTGAAGAATACTGCGGCAACGCGAAGCGAACAACGAGAAATAGGCAGAATGTTCGAGGAACGACGTAGAATGTTCCACAAAGAGAAACGTCAAGTTGGATGAACACTGCGAACAGCGAGAGAAATAGAATGAGCGATAAACTTCAGAACGTTCTAGAGTTGCCATAAGTACGAGCGCAGGTATATAAGGGCGCCGCCACAGCGAAGTGAGTTAGTTACAAGTCAGCAAGCTACAAGTAAAGTGAGCAGAGAAGTGAGTTGCGAATAAGCAAGCTAGAAGTTTAATTGTGTTAACAAGTTTAGTAAAGCGTTGTTATTGCTTTAACAAGTATTGTAAAGTCTTTTTACTGTATTAGCGAGTATTGTAAATGGTTTGTTGTACAATAAAGTTAATTGTCCTACAATTTGGTCATCGTTAGCATTTATTTAACAATCCAGAGATACGAACCGATGGATATTTGGGAAATCCCTCTAGGTTTCAAGGATAATCGTAACAATTGGTGTCAGAAGTGGGATTGTTAAATAAATCCCGAAGGATAAACTTTTGAAAATGGCAAAAATTCAAGACCTAAAGATCGGGGAACTCAAACAGGAGTTGGAGAAGCGAAATTTAGCAACCTCCGGAAGGAAAGTATTAACTCTACTACGCGGCTGCGAGAGGCTATGGAAAAGGAAGGTATCGACGTTGACAAATACGACATCAACGAAGGACGAACAGAAGGATGAGGCTGATTGTTCGTCGAAGGGTTTGCAGCAGACAGCCGGGAAGGGTTGAGGAACAGCAAAAGGCTCCTAGTTCATCAACAGGTATGGACATGAACACGTTATTGGCTGCCATGTCGCAGATGATGCAGGAACAGAGGTCGCAGTTGTCGTCAGACGTTTCCTTACAGATGCAAGCCTTGGACACACGTATATCTTCAGAGGTATCAGCGCAGGTGTCATCGCAGGTGTCATCCCGGTTAGAAACTGAGGTACAGGCACAGGAGGCACGCATATCATCACAGCTGGAAGCACAGGATGAAAAAATTACACAAATACAGGACAAACTTGAAGAGAGACAGGAGAAAGTCGAAGCAAAGGTAGAAGAATTGGAAGGTCGTCTTCGTGATTTACAGTTGAATCGTCCAGCTACTTCGTCGAGCGCACCCAAGGTAAAAACCCCATCCTTTGACGGCACGATTCCTTTCCAGGTCTTTAAGCTACAGTTCGAAAAAACGGCTGCAGCAAATTATTGGAGCATGGAGGATAAATCCGCTGCACTGTACGTGGCATTAAAAGGACCTGCAGCGGAAATCTTGCAGACAATTCCTGACTGTGAAAGGAACAATTACGATGCATTAATGGGTGCAGTGGAAAGACGTCATGGTAGCGAGCACAGGAGACAAATTTACCAGATGGAGCTGGAGAATCGCTGCCAGAAATCCAACGAGACTCTACAGGAATTCGCCTCCGAGGTTGAAAGGTTGGCTCATTTGGCAATTGGGGATGCATCTGGTGAGCACCTCGAAAGAGTAAAAATCCAGAGGTTCATCAACGGAATGCGGGACGTGTATACCAAGCGAGAGACGTACGCGAATCCACAGCCAACATTTGCTGAAACTGTCTCGTATGCTCAGACGCGTGAAACGGCGGCGCTCCTAAGTAGACCAGCCTACAAAGCACATCGCGTGAAAGTGGAAACACCGGACGAGACAAATGAAATGCTGAAGGAGATTATCGAACTGCTGGGCGAGAAAAAGCATTTCTCTGGCTATTGTTTTAAATGTGGAAAGCCAGGCCACTTCGCCCGCGATTGCAGCGCAAGTTCCAGTGCGCTCAACAATTCAGCAGGACGCAAACGCAGGGCTGAAGGAGATGAATCCAACTCCAATCAGTCGTTAAACTAAAACGAGCCAGCAGCAAGGGGCGCGCGCTGGCTCCCGCAATAGAATGCCCCATAATCTCCGTCTCGCGAATTGGCAGAATGGTGGATATGTGGACGGACATGAGCGAGTACTAACTGTGGATACGGGCGCATCACATTCCATCATTCGATCTGATTTGGTCACTAAAGAGGTAAGGCCATTACCTGGAGCAAAGTTGAGGACAGCAACTGGTGAGGACACCCAAGTTGTAGGAGAGGTAACATGCAAAGTCGCAATAGGGAATGTGACGGTGTTACACAAGTTCATAGTCGCGGCGATTATTGATGAAGTCATCATTGGATTAGACTTCTTGCTTGATCAAGGTATGAAGATCAACATGAAAAACAGGATTATGACGTATAACAACATGAAAGTGCCCCTTCGGTTTGGGAATGATGATCCGTACAGCAGCAAGCGAGTGATCCTAGAGGAAAGCGAGCAGATTCCACCGAAGTCAGAAGCAGTTGTGTGGGCAAAGATTGATGGAGATTGTGGGACAAACAAATTGTGGGTTGTTGAAGCAACACAAATTCTACACCGGACGTACTTATTGGTAAAACCCTGGCTAAGACGCAAAAGGATGGACGTATCCCAGTTCGAGTGCTCAATGAGTTCAAATCACCAGTCAAACTCCGAAGAGGAACTGTACTGGGGCAATGTCGAGAGGTAGAGGCAATCTTCAACTGCGAAAAATTACCTGAAAGCGATTCCATTGGTGCGAATGACATTTCGGAAGACATCAATGCATGGACGGAAGGGTTGGAAGAAAAATACCAGCACAAGGCTAAGGAACTTCTCCGAAGATACTTCAACATATTCGAAAAGGATGGCGACACACCAGGCAGGACTAACGTTGTGAAACATCGCATTAATACTGGCGATGCAAGGCCAATCCGTCAAGCTCCTCGGAGTGTTCCACTTGCCGAACGTGAAACTGTTAGCCAAATAATAAAATAAATGAGCGAGAGTGGTGTGATTGAACCATCAGCGAGTCCATGGAGTTCGCCGGTAGTACTTGTGAAGAAGAAGGATGGTCAAATGCGGTTCTGCGTAGACTACCGGAAACTAAACGATGTGACGAAAAAGGACACGTTCCCACGACAGTCGGATCTACGTAACCGAAACGACCCAGATTTATATCTGGCCAAGGACTGTCACTCCAGCAACACTCCCCAAAAAGTCTTTGGGGAATTTGTATGCTGCTACAACAACAACAACGAAAAAGGACAGCCATCCTCTTCCCAGGATCGATGACACTCTGGACTCGTTGACTGGAACAAAGTGGTTCTCAACACTCGACCATA